TAGTAAGTAAGGACTTCTGTCGCTAAAGTTTCGTCGGAAACGAAGTTACGGAAAGTTAATTAACAAACGGAGACGTAACAATATGTTAAGTTCAATTATAATTGCAGAATTACTGCGAAAAAGAAAAGCTTCATTTTCGGTGTAATCAAAATTTCAGTGAAATTGTTTACTAAACTATTGTTGATTTTTTTAATAAGACGGGCTATCAGCTGTGGCCACCCAGGGGAATCAAACCGCTGATTTTCGTGTTGTAAATCCGAAGACTTAGAGCTCTCCTACCGGGGGGACTTTGATTTATGAAGTGTAGGTTTATTGTTGCTACATTAATAACCAGCTTATATCAACGTTCGGTTTGTTTAGTTTTTATGGTGAACAAACAACACAATGGGCTGTCTGTGTTGTGGCACCTACAGGTATCGAAACCGGGATTTTAGCATTATAAGCCTTCTGATTTACCACAGAGCCACTGGAAGCCCGAAGTTTGGACAAAACTGATACTTTTCGGTAAATAGGACTTATATCTTCTGATACGATAATCTTACATTGTGACATTTAATTACAAGCAACAATATTACCTTTTAACTTTTTATATGGTGTTACAGCTTTTTGTGTATCACCACCGTCATTCATCATGGAATGAAACAGAATTTCAGAAACATTTCTGCCTTCTTCAAGGCTTGGCATGGCCAGGCGGTTAGGTCGCGGGTTCGAATCCCCGGGCCACCAAACATGTTCGCCCTTTCAGCCATGGGGGGTGTTATAATGTGACAGTCAATCCCACTATTCGTTGGTAAAAGAGTATTCCAAGAGTTGGCGGTGGGTGGTGATGACTAGTTGCCTTCCCTCTAGTCTTACACTGCTAAATTAGGTACGGCTGGCGCAGATACCTCTCTTGTAGTTTTGCGCGAAATTCAACACAAACAAACAATCCTTCTTCAATCTAAACATAATTCATGGCTTGTGGTGTTTGTATGCCATTTGTCGCTAGTTTGACGAAAAAGAATCACGAACGTTTATTTCAGTTAACAACCACATAAATAAGGTATTAGCGAAAAGACCAAAAATAAAGACATAACTTGAATAGTCTAATAAGTCACTCTCTTACTTTAGGACTTGTGGAAGAAGTTTATAATTAATATGTATTCAATCCCTATGTCGTAATCTGAGGTGTAACCAAAAATATAATAATTGGTAGTTTAGAACAGCAGTGTCATGAGAAATGGGGGAAAATGCAAAAAAAATATTTCAATGCAGCTTATTATAAAACACAATTAGCATTACAATTCAGCAAATATATTCTAACAATGTTGATTTATATCATTAATATTATAAAACTATGGATATTATAGTGAGAGTTATTTATATCTCCACCAGATAATGTTGCAAACACATTTAGGTTATTTAAGATAATTTTAAAGATTACAGCCAGTTAATGGCATTGTTTATGATTTAAGATTTAATATATTTTCATTCTTATTATTTTTTCTTAATGATCATGCGATAGATCTAGGCATTTATCTATACAGCTTCCCCTCACTTGATTAGCGGTAAGTCTGAGGGCTTATAACGCTAAAAATAGGATTTCAATACCCGAAGTGAGTAGAGCATAGACAGCCTATTATCTAGCATTGCGCTTAACAACAAGAAAAAAAATTAAAGGTGTTAAAGTAGAATGTCAGAGGTGTAATATTGAACAGTTATAATAAAATCGACTGAAAATGAACTGAGTTAAGTTGGAGATATATGATTTGAAAGTTTCTACTTTAGTTACAACAGTATTGGTGGTAGTGTTTATGATTACTTTCAAATTTATCTTAGTCTGTAAATTTACAACTTTTAAATACGTTCCATTTGTTTAAGGAACGGCACTTTTTTTCCCCATGTGAAACCACATGGTGACTATCTCATCTCTTTTCCTGACTTTTCTTG